AAAAAAAAAAAAAAAAAAAAAATTAACACATCTTAGTAAAACCAATACCTTCTCAGCTTCGCATCGAAGCTAAAACAATAGAAATCCGTTTGCTTACTTACTGAAAACCTATATACATTTTAAATTCTAAAGAAAAGTAATTTTTTCACATTTATTATTTATATGAATTTTTTTTTTTTTGTACATTAAAATTTTAAATTTTGTTGTGTTGTGTTGTGTATTTTGATCTATATAATAAATTTTTAAGAAAACGCTTAGATAAGATCAACAAAATAAATTTTCCTGTGCTAAGTTTGTACTTTTACTATTTTAGAAGGCTTTCCTGAGAAGTTGATTAAATTTACCTTGCCGTCCAGGCTTAAAAATGTATTAATCATTTAATATTAATTTAAAACTAAAAAATATTTTAAATATTTAACTTAAAAAAACCACAAAAAATACTAAAACTTGCATATACATATTTCAAGAACAATGTTACCCACCATCAGTGCTAAACATATATTATATGTGTATATTTTTATTATACTATTTATATTTTTTAGATTTAAGTTAATATTTTAAATATATTTTTAATTTTAGATAATATTAGTCACAACTGATCGATTCTTATTACGTATTAAACATATTCATTAAAAAAGATTTTACATCACTATAAGATTAGATTCTTGAGAGTTTTCTAAAAGTAGTTCTCTTAACCGGAGATGTCGATTAGTCTTTTCTTTCATAGCTGTTAACTCAGATTCAGTTATACCTTAGAAAAAAAAAGTTTAATATTTTACTTCTAAAATCAATTAAATTATCTTACTTTCATTGTTATGTCCTTTCGGTTTATAACTTTTTATTAGACTATTATAAAAAGCTAAAGTTTCTTCATGAGGTTTTCTTAGTAAATCTGTTATCACTAATAAATCTGAATAATCAATTCGAAATTTGGCCAAGAGACTAGCAATACTTTAAAATAAACAGAAAGTTTGTTTTTATAAAAAATATTAATTACATATAAATGAATTATGTCAGGACTTCGAACCAAATCGCATCCAAACCAATTAACACACGTAAAACCTATATTTTTATCAAAACTAAAAATGATATCTAAAAAAAAATCTTAAAATCTTAAACCCTTTATTATTTGATTTTACATGAAAATAAAAATTCAATGATATAATAATGAAATTAATGTTAAACATACAGTTATTGTTCGAAAAAGTAATTAATAGATAATAAACCAAGAACTATACATAATTAATAAAAACCAAATTTTTTTTTCGATATTGTATTTATTTTGAGAATAATTGAATAGTTTATGATAAAACGTTCATATTATATAGAAGTGATATTTAGTGCAGAAGGTATTAATGTATATCTATAATGCATACTACGGCCGTAGTTAAAATTGTTATATTTTTTTTTTGTATAAAATCAAAAACCGAACAAAAAATTTTGGTTCGAAGCCCTGGTTTATGTGGTATTTAAATGTTTAATAATAAATAAAATAAATAACACTTCACTTTTTTGTATCAAACAATATAATAGATTGTGAATGGAATTTTGTGCTGAATCTGAATCTAGTCTTCAAATTTTCAGATTGATTCTAGTTTTTGAGATAAATGATAATTAGAGAAAATTAGGTAATTACAAATTGCTCATTACAAAACAAATTTTTTTCAAAAACCCTATTTAAAACATTAATAGGCTATATTTAAGAGGTATTTGAAAAATTTCGAAATTTATATCTCAAGTTTAAATCTACACATGTATTAGATTTCATGTATCATCATTATTTGTTATGTTATAGGGGTATATAACCAAATTAATACTTAAAGTACACTAATTTTTTTTTCGTTAATTCATAAATAACTAGTATAAAATTGCTAAATGTGTTTTAAAATTATGTTAGTTTACAATTTGATTCAATGTTTATCAACATTTATTGAGTATTAGTTTACTATTCTATTTTATTTATACTTTCATTTATCAATCATAATGTGTTTTGGAATACAGTTTTTAATATTTGTAATAATGAATTGACAGTTCACAATAATATCAATTAGTCTGAATGATCTAAATAGGTTAACAATTTTAATTTAGTACACTGTTTTTAATCTGTGGAAGTTATTAAATTTATTCTAAAATGATTTACCTATATATTTTTAAAAGCATTAGTGTTTCTTGTGTCAATCTTAAAACTTGGATAGATCTTTTTTATAAAAAAAATACATATTCTAGTGTTTCATATAGTGAATTTATTAGTATAATACTCAAAGACTTTAACCAGTGGCGTAGAAATATTTTTTTCAAAAGAGAGTGATGAAGGCCCTTTTACTCCCGATTTATAATAAGCAAAAAATAAGATATTTCTAAATACTCCTACTAGGACCAAGGACTAGGATACTATTAATAGTTGAAGACCATTCCCTCTTCTCTCTTAAATTAATATAGCAATTTTATACAAGTTAATATCAATAAACAAGAAAAAACTAATGTATTTTAAGCATTAATTGAGTTGTATACCCTTATATCTTAACAAATAATGATGACAACCAGATTTAAATCAACGACGAAATTTCATTCAGAATCTACTATCAAATTGTTTGGTACAGAACATTTTTTATTTTTGTTGTATAGAGTAAAATTATTTTAGGAAATTTTGGATACATGTGTACTAATACCAAAGATAATTACCTTCTTTGTTCAAATTCCAACTGATCTTTTTTGTTAGCTATTGTAAATACTCTCAATTTACAGGAAGACCAATTACCTCTAGTACTAATTATATATGGTAATAATAATGTAAGGCCTGAAAACATTATAAGTCAAATAAGATTCTGTATTCATAAGTTAATATAACTTGGCATAAAGGGTAGACATAAAAAAAAAGATATATAAAAGATGTTATGTTATGAATCAAGAATTTTATACAACTAACAAACAAAATTTAATCAAAATTATTAAATTTATGAATTATTGCTTAGTTTATAATATAACTCTTATAATTTTTAATTTAATAATGATTTTGTTTAAATTTTTTCAAAAATTTACTAGATTATGTTTAAAGCACATTATTTATTATTTTAAGAATGATATGAACTTGGTTTAAATAAAAATCTTCCTAGTCAATGTAGATAATTTAAAAATTTATGTTACAAAAACATACCTCCATCATCATATAACCACCAAACATCAATAGTACCTTTTTTCTGCTTACGTTGAAATCTTGTTATATTATAGATAGTATCTTTGGGCAAATCATAACCATCTGTACCTCTTAAAATAACATTTAAGAAATTAATTACATTTCAAATAAATAAATATTAAAATGCCATACTTTACAATGTTAACTTTTTGGTTTTTAGATTTTTTTTGATGATCTGTAAAATCATTGTTTGACTTAGTATAAACCATATAAGAATCTTTTGTAAGTAATTCACTTTCTTCTTCACTACCACTATTACAATCATTCTTTTCAGCTAAAATAGATATATATTAGTTTAAAATAACTAATTAATACAATATAAGCTACAAACCAACAGTTGACATAGACTGTGATCTACTATGCAAAAATTGTTCTTCAGAAATAAAAGACGCTTTACGATTTACCATCATGTCTAGTTGATTTTCATCGATCAGAATAGAGTTTGAATAATTCAAACCAGATTTAACACGTAATATGCAAACTCCCATGTGAATGTCTAATGCTTTGCTATAATAAAAAATAATATGTATAAATATATTAATTGAAAGATATTATTAGCCATGGCTTTTATAAACATTAACCATATTATTTTTGTGTTATTTACATTGATTATGTACATTTTGACTTAAAATAAAAATATGAATAGTATAACGTGGATTTGTCAGAACATTGTGGGACAATATATATTTAAAAATTACTTTTTTTTGTTTAATTCAAGGGCTGTTCAAAGTTACTATTTTGAATCCTCCCTGTTAGCTGATAATAGGTAAGATTTTCAAAAAAAATTATCTAATGAAAGGAACACATTAAAGTTGTTTATATAAAAAAAATTTATTTTCATTCATACATTTATTAAAAAGTTATGGCAAGTATAAGTAAAAAAAGTTTAAAAAATGTTAAAATTTAAAAATTTCCAAAAAATTTTATTTTTTGGGAAATTTTTCCTATTTACCTGAAACAAGGGAATATTTTTAAATATTTGAAGTTAATGCCTTCATTTGGATATGGATATGTGGTCTTATGATATAACATTAAAAAAATCAGTCCAGTAAGAGCTTAGAAAAATTGACGAAAAAAGAAGATACTTCATAGTTAAATTATAATTATCTCAGCTTTACAATAAAGTTAAAATTAGAAATCAAAAATAAATATTATTTAGCCAACGTCTCTATAATTATATAAACATAAACAATTCACATACTGCAATACATTGAAGTACATGTTTAGATCTTTAGTACTGCATTTGAACCAATTAGCCTTATATCCTAACATTATAATATTTGGTTTAAGTTTGCCTAAACCAACTGTTTGCATCAAACTTTTAGCTCCATCATCGAAATTTGTTCCATCTATTTGAACATAAAATCCTTTTATTTTATGATAACATAACCAATTAGTAGCACGTTTTGAATATATTTCCAATAACTTTTGGGATGTTGGAGTCTATCATAAAAAATAGAACACATCAATATAGTAAAACTAAGTAATAAAAATTTTTTTTAGTAAAAAAATGATTAACATACATACCTTTATCATATTACCACATACAAGCAGCGAAAGATTTTTTGTTATTAGGTGAGCAAAATCAGTCAAAGGAGGTCTTGCTGATGGCATTCCAGTTAGAACAAGAAGTTGAGGACGAAAATTTTTCACATGATCTTCTACTCTTATTAAACTATGGACAGAAATTAATGCTTGTCTATAAGTTTGAGCTTGAGTACTAGTTCCCCAATTAACATCTAAACATATTTAAAATAATTATTATAGAAATCAAGGTCATTATTTAATAAATAAATTATTTACCTGGTTTCTGATGAGATACAATTAAATATAGTGCCAATATTGCAGCTAATGTCACTAAAGCTATCCACCAACAAATTACAAACATTAAAACTACACATAACATAGATCCAGCCAAGCTAAGCCACATATTATAAAGCTAAAAAAAATACTTTTTTTAAAAACAAGTTTTTACCTAATATACAAAAACTTTAAATATTGTATCATAAAAAAATAGGGGAGACCAGGTATAATCACAACAATTTTTATATTTGCAGCAATATCTCATAAAATAATTATGACTCACAATTTTTGTATTACAATAGATATATGCAGTCTTCTTTCATAATATAAATTATAAGGTTTTATTTAAAATTAACTAATTAAAAAATAAACAATTAATATAATGGTTTTATGTATTATATTTTACCCCAAATATGTAGAAAGTAACTAGAGATGCAAATTATGAAAAAACCATTGGTTTTTTTACCTTTTTTTTTTTTAAACAAAATATTATAATATTTAGATATTAAAATCCTTCAAAATTATTCTTAATTTAATTAATAAATCGTATCAAATAAATTATTAAATAAATAAATAAATACATTTTAGCATGGGCACATTAAAGGTCAATACACGGGTCAAAAATTATTTTGCGCTTATTATTTTAATATTTTTGACAATCATTTGTTTTTTGCTCATGAAGCAAATTATTTCTCTTCAACATGTTTGCTTGCATATTTGGCAAACTAATGCTTAGTTTGATTTAACAAAAACAACAAAACCCAATTAAATTATAATATTGCAGAAAAGAGGTTTTGATAAGTATGCCAAATGTAGGATTTTTAACTATTTAATAAAAAAAAAACACATGAAAAACTGCTTGAAAAAAGTTCTAACATTATTTTTTTTTTTAATTTTATAACTTAACATAAAATTAAAAAAAATATATTGTTAATATTACTAAAAATGTAACTTTTATGTAATATAGAAATATGTGATATAAAATTATTACAAATATATAATATTTGTAATAATTTTAACTGAAATATGCAAATAGAAAAATTATATTTCTACACATTATAAAACAAAATTATTATAACTAGGTTGTAGATGAATGTTCGTTTGTAGAATAATTTGTGCCCTACATGTCACTGAGATAGGTAAATAATAACAATACAAAAAAAAATTAGTAATCCGGTATGCATAGGTATTGGTTTAATTCTGAACAATAAAGTCGGTATATTAATCTATTTTTTAAAAATACTTGATGATATACAAGGTGATTTTTTTTTAATACTAGCCACTCAATTTCTAATCAAATTATTTTTGAATTTTTTTTTTTAGTTTCATATATTTGTCCAATTATTAGTTATTAATTCCTTTTTTTTTTATCTCTGATTACCTTATAAAGGTCTCAACTTTATTTTTTTAAATAGCAACATATATAATATATATGTTAAATATTATTTAACTAGCTTATAAAATAAAAATGTTCTAATTAAAAATATTACTAGTGAATAACTTTTATCTATTATTTTGGAAGTTATTATCATTTTAAAATAATACTGGAGGTAAGGCACTGGTTATACCTCAGCTAGTTATAAAAATGTTTCTAAGAATTGGTCTAAAAAGTGTTATTGACAAAACTCTTCTTCTTCTTCCTCACCTTATTTCTAACTACTTGGGGTCGGCCACCCTTATCCTAAACTTCCACTTGACACGATCTCTCACATCAACTGTCCTCATATCACATTCAACAGCACCCCTCTATCTCTTTTTTGGTCTTCCTCTATGTATTCTTCCTTCAACATTAATTTCTATAACTGTTCTTATAGCTTCCAATTTTTCTCTCCTCGTAACATGACCAAACCATCTAAGTCAATTTTTGTTCCTTATCTCATCTTCTCTAGTCACTCTACTCATCCATTTAAGCATTCTCATCTCTGCTACATTCATTTTCTACTCTATTTTCTTGTCAATCGGCCAACACTGATCCATACATCATAGCTGGTCTCACTACAGTCTTATAGAAATTACCTTTTAGCCTCATTGGAATTCTCTTATTGCATAACACACCAGACACTTCTCTCCACTTCAACCACCCGCACTTAATCCTGTGTCTTACATCCTCATCAATACCATCGCTCTTTTGCACAACTGACCTTAAATACTTAAAATTTTCCACCTCTTCAATTACGTTATCGTCTATTGTTACTGATCTCCTGATTTCAAGTACCTCATGTTCTCCTTTGTCAAACTCGTACTTCATATATTCTGCCTTACATCTACTTATTCTTAACCCCTTTTCTTCAAGAGCTGATCTCTACACCTCTAGCTTTTGATTAATTTCCTCCCTATTTTCTCCTATTAACACTATATCGTCAGCAAACAACATGCACCACGGCACCTCTCCTTGTATTTCTCTAGTAATTTCATCAATCACTATAGAGAATAAGTAAAGGCTTAAAGTAGAACCTTGGTGTACTCCTACTCTTACCCAAAAACTTTCTGTTACTCATCCTACGCTTTTTACCCTGGTACAAGTGCCATCATACTTATCTTCTATTATATTTATGTACCTTTTCGGTACTTCTTTTCTTATTAATGACTACTTTAAAACCTCTCTCGGTAATCTATCATACGCTTGCTCCAAATCTATAATTAACATACACAGCTCTTTCTTTTCCGAAAATTTTTTATTAGTTGCCTCACACAAAATACTGGCTCCATTGTTGGCTTACCAGGCATAAATCCAAACTGGTTTTTAGATACCAATGTCTCATTTCTTATTCTCTTATCTATTACCTTTTCCCAAATTTTCATACTATGACTCATAAGCTTTATGCCTCTATAATTTCCACACTTCTGTATGTTACCTTTAAATATCAGCACCACAATACTATTCCTCCATTCATTTGGAATTTTCCCTTCTAATAAAATTTTATATAAAAGTTCCTTCAACCACCTTATGCCAACACCGCATTCTTAGTAAAATTATTTTTCATTTAATAAACTAGTTGAATACATATTCAACTAGTTTTAAGAGAAACTATGTTTCTATTGAAAAAAATAAAGTTAACTCCCTTATAAAGTACAAAGGAAAAATTAAAATAATAATTAATAATTGATAATTAAAAACTGAAAATTACCAAAAATAATTTATTTCGCACAATTATTATTTTTTTTAAATAATAGTACATAATTATTAAGTTTAAATATTAAAATATGCAAGTACAGTTAAAGTAAAAAGAAATTATTAAATAAATATAAAAAAATAACATTTGAAAATGTTGAAATATTTTTTGGTGCAAAATTTTCAAATTTGTACAATTAATTTATGTTATATTTTACCCATACTTTATTTTATTTAACATTTATTGTAACTCAAAAAGTAATATAGTATTTAATTATTATTATCATATTATTTTAATTTATTAAAATGTATATATTAAAGTCATGATAACATTTAGATCTAAGTTCAATTGAGATTAGCAATCACTGATTAAACCATTGATAACAAGCTGAAAAACAAAACAATATTTTTACCATCGAGTGATAAAATTGAATATTTGATTATAGCCACTTTACTAATAAGACCCTAATAACAAAAGAATATATAATATTTTTTATTTAAGAATCTAATGGCATATATTTATGTTAATCGACCTATCTATAAGCTAATGTTTGTAACAAAGAGGACAGGAAAACCTACTTAGTATTAATATACTTCTACAATACACCTATGTTACATCTTACCTCATATTACACCTAGATCCAATCTCCCCTATATAAAAAGAACAGTTTATTTGAAATATTATCTCTATAAATATCAACATTTTGAAAACAATATACTATTTTTAATATTAATTATAATTAGTATTAACATATATATTTTAAATTCTCAACTGTTGTATTTATTTAGGACTAGGAATTGAATTAATTCAACATTATTTCAAAAATTAATAGAAAATTATCATAAGCTAAATAAATATGATTGTTATTATTCATTTAAATGCTAACATAAATATCCATTAGATTGTCAATAACTAATATATAATTTGCAGTATGTGAAAGTCACATAAACAGTAAAAACATTTCACTTAATCTATTATGTAAGGGGGTATTTAACACTTAAATTAGGCGATGGCCTTATGATGTAAAGAAATATTAGCTTATTTTATTGTTAAATAGAAAATAGTATTGTAGAAATTTTGGTTTATAAAATAACTGTTCCTTCATCCCACCCTTGTCATAAAATAATTTAACAAATTTAATTACTCTAAATACATTACTAAATTTTTATTGTGGTCTACCATTAAAATTGACCAATAATTCTTGTCCTATCATCTCATACCTCCATAGGTATTTTTATGCAAGATAGGTACATTTATAAAATGTTAATATTTTTTTATAAATATATTTTACTTTAAGAGTCTTAAATGTTGTATTATTCATTTTTATATAATAGTTTAAGTTAATTATAATATAGATTCTACAAATTGTAAATAATTTTGCACTATAATATTGTAAAATAATTGTTTAATCATTTCATACAAATTAATATCTCTTAATACTAAGGTTTAACACACTTCAGATTCTTTAAAAAATATTATAAAAATAATGTTATGTAATCATAAACAAAATTAAAACATTAATAATTTAGTTTTTATAATTTCATTTTAAGTCGGAACTTATTTTTTAAACTCTGTAAATAATATAACGATCAATGAAAGCTTTAATAACACATTCAAATGTGTATTAATTATAAGTTTTATCATAAATTTTGTTTGTTATATACAAGACAAACTTTCTTAAAAATTTTTATTCCTTACTTTAAAAGTAGGTCTCCATCCAATTGGTTTTACTAAAGACGCATGAAAGGTACTAAAATTAATAAGGGCATAAACGCTGAGAATAATATTTGATATTGAAGGAAGTATAGCATTTAGATCACCTACAGAAACAATATCAGTAAAAATATCAATAAAACACCTAAAATAATTTAATATGCCAAGGATCACACAAAATGTTAAGTAATAATTCAAAATATTTTAAGGTTACCTGGAATAATAAATAACACAACAATTATTGTTGCCAAAACGTCAGCTCTTATAGGTTCACCCGATTTAGTACTAAACCCAAACCATGAAAGTTTACTGTACAACTTATCATTACATAACATTTGAAATACTTTGGGAGCAGCTAGAAAGGAAGAAATTGAAGCCGTCAATGTTGAGGCCAAAATGCAAGCATAAATTAATGGACTGTAGAAAGCTATAAGTCCAAAAGTTCGATTTACTGCCTAGATGTAATAAAAATAATATTAATTACTTAGGCAATTACAGTGAAATAAAATGTATATTAATAGATTTATATTATAGATATAATTTTAATATTATTCTTTTTTAATTTTAAAGAAAGTTATCATACATTCATAATATTCTACAAATATTTAATAAACATTTTTTTCATATCAAGATAAATATAATTGTAAAAATTATTTACATAAAGTTTGTCTGGTACATCACAGCTTGCTATTTCATTATACTTTGAAGGTTCTTGACCTACAAATGTTAATCCAACTAAAAATGCCAGAATTATGTACACCAATGAAGAAATAAAAATTGAGGTTAATGTTCCTTTTGGTATATCTCTCAAGGAATCCTGCAATAATAAAATTTATAAATATATTTAATATTACATAAAACACCTTTAATTAAAAAAAATTCCAAATAGCAATTTGCATGGTTAAAAAACCCAGCACAGTGGGGTGAGGGCACAGTGGGGTTCTGGCATAGTTGGGTCCAGTATAGATGATATCTGACATTGATTAAAATCACTATCATAAAAAACACTTCGATGCAAATCTATAGTGTTTAATTTAAAAAAAAAATTTGTCAAAAAAGTAGGTCATGTGAGAGCTGAGAAAATAAATGATAGCTACAAAAAAAAAACCCCCATAGTAAAATAATATTAATATGAATTTCTTCTCACAAAAGGAGACTACAGTAATGGGATTCTTGATATTTCTTGAAGTTATTGAATCTAAATGAGATAAAAATCAAATGAATTTAACATTTTTTTTTAAAATTTAAGTATATTACATAAGCTGTAATTTAAGAAATATATAAAAGTATCAGTATTTCCGGAACACTTTCAAAAATTAAGTTGAAAAAGTTCTACTTTCTCTATGCATTTTTATGATTTTAGCCCCCCCTATATTAAGGGAAATGGTCCGATTTAAAAAAAAAGTATGTCGAATGAAAGAAGTATATAAATACTACTTTTCATGAAATAATTGTATTGATCCAAACATTTGTTAAAAAGTTATAGCATTTTAAAGTAAAAAATGTAAAATATAAAATCGAGAATTATAACACAAAAATAGCATTCGGTAGCCGTTTTCACCGTGAAGACAAAATAAAGTCCGAAATTTTTATTTTCCATAATAAAGTATATTACATTACCTTAATTTAAGATATATATATAAAAGTGTCAGTATTTCCGGAACACTTTCAAAAGTTAAGATGAAAAAGTAAATTTTTTGTAAAAAAGTTGTACTTTTGAATCCCTCCGTAGGCAGGTAAAGGGTTAGATTTATAAAAAAAATATACCAAATGAAAGGTAAAGACATCATACATCCATAAATAAAAGAATTATATAGATGTTTATTTTTTAAAAAGTTACGGCAGTTTTAAGTAAAAAAAATTGAAAATTTTTCGAAATTTAGTGATTTTTAAATTTGTAATTTTTTTGGAGGTTTCCCCCATTTATGGAGAACGAGGGAAATTTTTTCAATTTTTGAGGGTAATGTCTTCGACTAGATACGATTTGTGATCTTTTGACGTATCGTTGAAAGAAATCGGTTCGGTGAGAGCTGAGAAAAAGTAGTAACAGACACAAAAAAAAAACACATCATAGTAAAATTAATACCTTCTCAGCTTCGCATCGAAGCTAAAAAACAGTTATTTTGTACAAGAATAATTAATTATAAACTAATACCTTTAATTCTCCTGATTTGTTTGTGCCAGCTAAAAATCCTGAAGCAGCTGGAAAAAATATTGCAAACGCACACCAAAAACTCTTACTCCAATCTTCAAATGATTCAAAGTTTTTAAATAAATTGTGATTAAATGCAGTCTCTAAACAATTATAAATTTGTTTTAATACAATAAATTCACAAATAAACAATAAAAAAAAGGAGACAAATAACTTCTTTTAAACTTAAAAATAAATTTGCACTATCTTACTTGAATTTTGTAAGTACTATAAAGATACAATTTCATAAAAATTTATTTGATAGCGACAAAAAGTCGGGAACGCGAGCGGCCGTATCGGAGGCGCGCTCCCCTATTCGGCGTCGTTTTCCGTTCCACAGAATGGCAAAATTCGCGAATTTAAGAAAACGGAGAAGGTGAAAAATTCGAACGAAGGTCGGAAAAGACGCATAACTACGCTGTATTAAAAGTATTAGAATGAATGGAGTAATTGAAAATACATTTTTGTTGGATACATGCACAAGTTTTTATTTTTCAAACTTGTATTTAATATTATGATAGGAACATATATAAGGATCAGATTTTTCAATCTAAAATGAAATCTGTTAAATATTCTAAAGAAAAAATAAATTTACAATTACCTCATTTGCTTTCAATTATTTCACTTTACTCTATTTTAGTATTTTTATTATTAAAAAAAATTATTTTCTACTTTGAACAATAGTACTTCATTTTTGATTTTTTTTTTTTTTTAGCTTTATTCATTGCGTATCGAGATGTTTTACTTTTGAAACAATTTTACATTTAAGTTTTATGGAGGTATTAGTTTTCGTCTACACCTATATTAATTCCTTAAAGTACAATTTATGACTAATAGATATTGGTTATTCGACCACACTTTGAAAATATAGAAACTAGCTAAAACAAAACCTTTTAAGGTAACTGTTGACCAATAATGTTTTTTTTGGTGTAATCGTTAGATGATAAGACGTGGCCTTTGAGTTTACCATATTATATGCCTATTTTAAATTAAATGTAAATTTTCTAAATATTCATATGTTATAAACCAAATGTGATTTAATACATAGATTAAAAATTGAGTTACAAAGGCATTTTAAAAAAAAAAAAAAAAAAAAAAATGGCATAAATTTCAATCAATATTAATACATTATCAGTTAAAAATAACTATATTATAAAATTATATTCACAACAAAAATTAATTTTATTAAAACTTAATGTAAGTTATTTTTCTTTACCTAATAAAGAATTTATAAAGATTTACAAAAAATAAAATTATGGTTAAAAATTATTTAAATAAAATAAACCTGTGACTTCACATTAGTTTGCTTTTTTAAAATTTTAAATTACATTTATACTGTTGTATTATTTTATCATAACATAAAATTGTATTCTTAAAAATTGAAAATATCGTATAATACGTTAATTATAATATCTACGCTTTCAAATTGATAAGTTCTGATCTTTATATGTTGCTATCATAATATTAAATGCAAGTTTGAAAAATAAAAACTTAATAATAAAAATACTTTAATACTAAAATAGAGTAAAGTGGAATAATTGAAAGCAAATGAGGTAATTGTAAATTCATTTTTTCTTTAGAATATTTAACAGATTTCATTTTAGATTGAAAAATCTGATCCTTATATATGTTCCTATCATAATATTAGATAGAAGTTTGAAAAATAAAAACTTGTGCATGTATCCAACAAAAATGTATTTTCAATTACTCCATTCATCCTAATACTTTTAATACTTGTAACTTGTTATAATATCACAATCAAATTGCATTATATAATAAAAACAATAAATGAATTAATAACTATATAATGACACTAATTATGATATCCACGCTATCAATTTTAGACTTAAAATTCTGAAACTAAAAAATTTGTATTCTACAGTAAAAATTATTAAAAACTATTATGATATACTAATCATAATATTTGACCAAAAATTAAATAACATTTCTTGTTTTTTGAGGTATTTTAAGTAAAAATACTAAACACGTTGAGCAGCTAGTAGAATTTTTTTTTTAAAATCATAAATTTTCATAAAATATATATTTTAATGTATATAATAAAGTTAAAAGGCTTCTCATTAAAGTTTCAATAATTAACTTTTTTATCCACTCTAATAGTTATATTTCAACTTACGACTAAATCCAATAAATCCTTGATCATTTTCATAACTACTTTTAGGACCAAAAATTACTCCAGCTATCACATTTATAATAGCTGCAATTATGACAACCAAAACTGCTGAATGAATCTATAAACAGTTTTTAAACAATCTTTCAAAAATATGTATATAAAAAAAACCCAGCACAGGGGGGTTGCGGCACAGTGGTGACGTGACATAGTTGGATCAAGTATAATGATATCTGATAGTGATTAAAATCACTATCAAAAATAAACGCTTCGATGCAAATCTTTAGATAGTGTTTAATTTTAAAAAAATTGGTGTTTTATTCCAAAAGCTACTTGATCTGCTGGTTCCTTATTAATATCTCGATTAAGATAAAGTATGTCGAATGAAAAAGGGTTTATTAAAAAATATTATTTCTCATAAAAAAATTGTGTGGATCCATAAACTTTTCAATAAGTTATAGCATTATAAAGTTAAATATAATATAAATAATAAAATCGAGAATTTTCACACGAAAATAGCATTCGGTAGCCATTTTCGCCGTGAAGACAAGTCCAGAGGTCAAATTTTTTTTTTTCAAATTAAAGTATATTACATTAGCTTTAATTTAAGATATATATAAAAGTGTCAGACCTTCCGGAACATTTTCAAAAGTTATGTTGAAAAAGTAAATTTTTTGTGAAAAAGTTGTCATTTTAAATCCCCCCCTGTGGGCAGGTTAAGTGTCAGATTTACAAAAAAAATATACCAAATGATAAGTAAAGACATCAAGCATCTATATAAAAAAAAATTATATTGATATGTTCATTTTTGAAAAAGTTAGAGCATTATTAAGTTAAAAATATAAAAAAAAATTATTTTACAAAAATCGTAATTTTTTATTAACTTTGATGTCAACTTTCACCACGAAGACAAGTCCAGAGGTCAAATTTTTTTTTTTCAAATTAAAGTATATTACATAAGCTTTAATTTAAGATATATATAAAAGTGTCAGACCTTCCGGAACATTTTCAAAAGTTAAGTTGAAAAAGTTAATTTTTTGTGAAAAAGTTGTCATTTTAAATCCCCCCCTGTGGGCAGATAAAAGGTCAAATTTACAAAAAAAATATACCAAATGATAGGTAAAGACATCAAGCATCTATATAAAAAAAAATTATATTGATATGTTCATTTTTGAAAAAGTTACGGCAGTTTTTAGTAAAAAAAATTGAAAAAATTTCGAAAATTAGCGATTTTTAAATTTGTAATTTTTTTGGAGGTTTCCCCCATTTACGGGGAACGAGGGAATTTTTTTCAATTTTTAAGGGTAATGTCTTCGACTAGATACGATTTGTGATCTTTTGACGTATCGTTGAAAGAAATCCGTTCGGTGAGAGCTGAGAAAAAGTGGTAACAGACAAAAAAAAAAAAAAAAACACATCATAGTAAAACCAATACCTTCTCAGCTTCGCATCGAAGCTAAAAAAACATGATATATAATTTGTATTTATAATTATAAAATATTTATATAAATACAGTGAAAATTGTAAAATTTATTGAGTATTTATAATTTTAAAATATATGAGGTCGAGCCTATCCTAGTGGATAGAACATATGTTTTGGCGTACAGGGTCCCGGTTTGATCCCTAAGATGCCAATGAGATTTTTCTAGTGATTTTTTCACTGGTGGTATCTGGACTCGGATGCAAGCCATCCATGATACCCATTCCATCCATCATTAGCTTAGCCAAGAACTATTTTTAATTTTCTAACATATAATAGAGGGCCACCATCCCTGTAGCATTTTAATTTAGGAAATAGAAGAATGCAAATCTGATCCTTATTATCATTCATGATTTTTAAATATGTATAGTATACATATCTAAAGAATATTTTATAAATCGTACATCTAATACAACTTAGGTAAAATGTGTTATAATGTTGAAAATAATTAGATTAAAGTTGAAGTAAAATTATTCATTATAATTTATTTAAACCTGAACACTGGAACGTATACCACCAATTGTAGCTACAAGTAATATAGCTGTTGATCCGATTCCTAACAATCTCATATCTTGAACAGAACCATCAAAAATAGTCCATTGAAGAGAATTCAATAATATCTGTATCATTTCACAAAATCCAACTAAATGCATAGCACATGTGGCAGCTAGTGATATAGAATATATCACACCAATACAAGCACCAAATTCAGGTCCAAGAGAACGAGATATCATAAAGTATGTACCACCTTCTTTTAACACCCCATTTGTACTGATTGCTGACATTGACAGTGCAGTGATAGTAGTAATTGCTCCACCAAATAATATTATTACAATTCCTGAAACTATAAATTGAATTAGTTAGCTAAATATAACTTTAAAAAAACTATTACAACTTCAATAAGGATACCTAGTTTATCAAAACATACCTAAACCAGTAGTGCACACAACCCAAGCTAAACGAAGAAATAACATAAGACCCCATATTTGTACTAGATTACGAATAAGAACACCTTTAATCCAACCCTGTTCATGTTTTCTTAATACAGGTCTACTTGGTTCATTACCTTGTGTGTTGAGATCCTGAATTAAAAAAAAATAAGAACTTTTATAAGACATAGTATACAAATTAATAATATAAATGTATTTGTTTATTTTTATATTAGAATACTTTTTCATCCATATCATTGTTATGAAGTTCATCAAGGGTAGGCCTGCATGCTACATGTACAGACATAATATTTCTGTAATTATCTAAACGAGGTAATGCTTCGCGTGTTAATTGACGAAAACTTCTATATTTATTATCATCAGATGAAGCACTGTCCAAACGAGCTCTATGAGATTCATTATCAACCAAGTTCACTTGAAACCTAGTACGCTTTGACTCAGTAACAACACTTTTTAGTTCAATATCTCCTTGAGAACTATTCATTTTTTATTTTTATCTAGCGCAAAAAATTTAACGATAAATTAATTTTACCTTTATTTTGGTATAACTATTAACAAAATTAATATTGTTCTTTACCTAATTATACATATTTTGAATATAGGGCAGTTGATTTATATAGTAAAAATTAGAATTATAAAACAAAATATTAAGAGATATTTATGACTTGATTTTTTTTGAAGTTTAAATACACTAAGAACACCTGTTGAATTAATTATCTCAATTCAAAATTAAATTAAATTTTTAAACTAACATCTTATTAATTTATTATAATTAAAATTCCATGACTATTTTCACTCACAACAGTATAGTTTAATTACTGATTGACAAACAAATTGCACATGTTAATTTAATTAATATTTGTATAAAATAAAAAATTTAAATATTTTAATTTTAGCTGCCTCAGACTTAAACTAAATAAGTAAGAAATGACGTTAAAAAATGATAACAATTCATTCTAGTAGAAGTTTAATCATAAATGTTTATTCATCATAGGCAATTAAAAATAGATTAGTTTGTAAATTATTTCATATTTTAAATTCAGTTGTTATACTTCTTAATTTAAAATTCAAAATAATCAATAAAACTACCTGATCAAATAGTAAAATGACCCTTTCCAGAATTTTCTTAATTTTTAACACAATCAGTTAAAACCAAATTTAAAATTTAAAAACCGATAAATGTCGACAAACCATTTAACATACATGCAAGTATGAATTTGAAAATTAACTGTAATATACATTATTATAGCATATTTTTGTGCACTCAACACACCGTTGATTATTTCAATATTTTAACAAAAAAAAAAAACATCAATTGATGGAAGTGACAGGTAATGCACTTCTCCTTAAAAAGGTAATTTTGAATGCATCACGTCTTGTCGTCATTATCGTTTATCACCAATAAAACTAAATATTGTTTAGGTTATATAAATTGTAATATTTGATCACTATTTGCATGGAAGAAATTTCCGCGCCTTACTTTTCAAAACATTACTCTTAACACTTAACTGTAATAACCGACACGTACTATGATAAGAGATGATAATTCAGTATACATTAATTAAAAAAATTTCGGAATTATCAACTATTTTAACTTCTGTAATCTTATTTACTTCATAAAATTAATTTTTTTTCTGCTTAACTTAAATTTCCTTTAAGTGATAATAAATTAGTATAATGGGATTTTCCTTATGGACGTTATTGGAAGCTTCATTGCTTTTCTTAAATGCAATCTGCGTACTCAGTGAAGAACGAGTATTAGCAAAATGTAAACTAATAAGTGAAATTTTATTTAAAATTTTTTTTAACAATTAGTTTGATTAAAAATGGATTTATTTCACTTTTTTTTAGATGGATGGTCGACAGTAGATCAAAATTATCATGACACTTCATCTACTAAAATGCAAATACTTTCACTTATGAAATCAATCCGTACAGTGGTAAAATGTATGTAATAATTAATCTATCAATCATTATTTAGTGTAGTTTCTTGATCAAGTATTATTAAATTTATTGTATACTAATGTTGTGTTGCTATTTAGGGCATTACCAATATGTGATTGTATCATTAATAATTAATTTTATATATTAAGATAACCATTTTATTATCACTAAAGAAATATTAATATGCAAAATAGACTAATGATAACAGTGTTAAGAATTTTTCCTGAAATGCAAATGTGCATGGATTTAAGTTTTAAAAGTGCTTTTTTTATTATGAAAATGGAAGTCTAGGTAGAGTAAGAAAATTTTAATGATTCACACAAAGAGCTTTAAATACGTTAAATGGATAGACTGAGCTTGAAAGAGCCAAAATTTATCAATTAATTGAATTTATGTTGTTTAACATACTATTTCAAAATGTATTGATTATACAAGAAGAAATGAGAAAACTAATATAGCCTAGTCCTATGGTATTGAACCCTGGTTCAGGTACCTGTACAAACCAAAGCATGACACATTATTAACTGACCTAGGTAAGATGCCTAAGTAATCATGGACTGGACCTCAAAATTAAATGTAGTAAAGATCTGGCCTAATATATTGTTAGTAAACTTAGGTAGATGTTAACAACATTTAAACTATAAATCAGTACTCTCAACTAATATAAGTATTTTGATATTACATATTGATATTCAAAATAAAAATAATTAATAGAACTAATTAAAGAATTATATATCATGTAAATTAGAAATGACAATGTCTTCAAAAAAAAAAAAAATCTTTATGCTTCTATATAATTTTTATTAAGTAATATCACAATGTGAAAACTTAATTAATTCATAAATTAAGAAACATTGAATACAGTTGAGTTGGTAGTCTCAAAGAATTATGTGAATTTTTAAATAAGCCATACACTAGAATATAAATCAAGTTGTATCTATTAGAGTCCTGATTTAGAGTTCGAGTAAGGTTTGAACCAAAAAAAAAATTAATTGGACTTATAAAAACTAAATGTTAAATTAGGCATAACCTGGATATCTTCAAAATTAAAACAAGGGCTAGGCCAGGCCTAGAATTAATCTTATCTATTTTATGGTAATACTTTCAAAAATTAAGTAGGAACTTATAATTATTAGATGCAACCGGATAAAAAATGAACTAAATAAAATATTGACTGATTGATAACTAGTTTTGAAATTTAACTTTTTAAGTTGATATAATCCATAGTAGGCTGTGAAAGAGATATATAATGTAGTATTATTACACACAAATATGAATATACCTGTATTTAACTGTAAAAATAATGTGTAGCTAAATAGTGCTCTGACCTTCATTTTATTTATNAAAAATAATGTGTAGCTAAATAGTGCTCTGACATTTATTTTATTTTAAATTGATTATCAATCAGACAAAGTTTTATTTAGTTTATTCTTCAATTATCAGTATAAAATTAATTTTAAGTACCCATTTAACTTTTGAAAATTAACCCTAAAAATTAGTAATTTCTTTATGATAAATTCAATATTTATTAAGGTTCATAAAAATAAATAAAGATTTATTTAGTTCCGTTTTTAGAAAAAATCATGCAATGATTAGTTGGGTGTAGTTTTTTAATAATAAATCGCATTGTACAGTATAAAAAAATTCAACAATTTTCTTTCAATTAAAACTACCAAGACGAATTTAAAGAAACTTTGTTTTGTAATTTTTTTTTTACGAATTTTATTTGATTTAAAGAAATATACAAAACTATCTGTTTTTCGAAGAATTATTTGAATTAATAAGTTCACTTGGAACATATATTATTTAAAAGTTTTTTTTTCTGTGAAAAATGTTAAGACCATATACTATAATGATGGTTATTTAAATATTCTGAAATTACTTCCTTAAACTTATTTTATAAAATTAGGTTGACTCTAAATTGAGATGTAAAATGAATAATACACGCGTATATATATTTAACTTTATTGTTAGTGTTTAAATTTGTGAATGTATTGTGTTCCCTAGGCAATCTGAATGTGTTGCAAACGTAATGCTTTTTAAGTGTTGTTATATCATAGCCCTTAACGTTTCCGTTCTTTACACAGTTCATAAGTCATAATTTAAGAAAATTATTCCCTTTCGCTTCTTATTTTTTTAAGACAGTGAAGAATGTTTTTATATTAATTATTTATATTATTTTTCAGACCCACTAATTATTTGCAATCTGTTCATCATTCTCATTAAAGCTATTACTGGATAAAAATACATTTATTGTTTTTCTTTTTATACTTGTATAATATAATATGTAAATTATTTAATAATTTTTAAGTTGAATTATTTAATATATTAAATTTTATTTGTACGTATTTCTCTTTTCTTCGTTTATTTATTAACTCGCAAATAATTAATCTTTCATAATAATTAACTTTTTTTATTAGAATAAAATATTTCTTTATTTTAATATTTAGTTTACGAAATCTGAATTATAATGAAATGATAATAATTACGAAGTGTGCCAAGTATTGAAAGATAATTATTATCAATTGGTAACGGCAGTAAACAACATGTATTCGGCGTGTGTAATCATTTTTATGATAATGTATGGGTAACTAATTTAATTTAGTATTTACAATCGGGCTGTGAGTACAATGCGATTATTGCGTACAAATTTTGCATTGCATCGGAACTCAATTATTGAACCAAAAAAATTTCACAACAATGTTAATTTCGCTGTTCTATCTTGATATTATATATTGATGACTATATTATTAAACAGTGTTTCAGATATTGACCTAGACTCTCAAATTAATTATCTGTAGCATGATCAATGCATTTTTTATTATTGTACACTTTTAATTTTATTAATTCAGTAAAAATCTATTAAATTTTTCACAAGAATATTATTGTTCCCTAATTTCACTTTGATAATAGTGTAACATATTGTATTCCTGTGTAATGCTAGTACTCATGACTGATGGTCTTAACAAATAATTTTGTTCTATAAATACGCGAAATCGAATTATAACAATGATTTTAGTTCCTCTTAAAACATAATGTTAAATGTTTTTTACATTTTACATTTTTTTCTATTTAAACAGACAGTTATACTTGTAGCCTATAAAATATTTTTTGATGAAGATAAATGGCTAAATATATTTAAACTACACATATAACAAAACATTTAAGAAATATATATTACAATAAAATAAAAAAATTTAAGCTTTTTTACCAATCATATGAGGGTGGCGTCTAAGTACTTATTGTTTAATATTAAACAAAAGAGAATTAGGGACGCGTAAAAAAGCGTTGTTGGTGAGTATGACATCAATGCGTATTACTAAATGTTATTAGTATGATGATGAAGGAGCTCCGTATGACGAAGATGGCCTGGAGCTGTAGCCAAAAGATGGAGCTCCATAGCTAGATGATGGACCGGAAGAGTATCCACCGGCTTGTTTGAATTGAGCAACTTGGATGGCGGGTTTCACTCCTTCAAATTCAAGACCGACAACGTGGCTAGAATATGAAGAAGATGGGACACCATAGGAGGAAGATGGGGCACCGTAGGAGGAAGATGGAGCACCGTAGGAGGAAGAAGGAGCACCATATGAGGAGGATGGGTATCCACTTGAAGACGAGGATTCATCTTTAAGTACAATTTGCTTGATTTGTTCAAGAAGTTGTGGGTCAACATATTGACCTTCGTAAGTAGAGTGTCCTGGAGCCACTGGGATATAGCTACCTCCGCTAGAGTAACCGCTACCGCTGCTTGGGTATCCACCGCTGGAATATCCACCACTGGAGTATCCACCACTTGAGTATCCACCACTTGAGTATCCACCACTGGAAAGTCCTCCACTAGAATAACCACTTCCTCCACTGGAGTGACCACTTCCTCCACTTGAATAGCCGCCACCGAAAGATGATGATGGGCGGCTATAACTGTAACCACTTGGTGGTTCAGCAGAAATCATAGTAATAGCGGCAACAACAAAACACTGAAATATTACAAATTCTATAAAAATACTAATTTGTCTCTTTTAACAACTAAGTATGAATATTTATGATGATTTAAATACCAAATAGTAAAAAATATTTTTTAAGGCTCAAATAAGAACTTTCGTTGAAATAAGTACAAAATTCATTAAATAAATCCATAAAAAATACTTTTTATTATTATTTGAAGTTTACACTTGTAAGTGCAAATTCTTATATATTAAGATATTATGATTTTAAATTAAACTATACAACTTTAAATTTATTAATTAATTTAAATTATGTCAATTATAATCTACATACCATGATATAAATTATGTTCCTAAATAATACTAAAACTTTTTTTATGAAGTTATTATTTTATAAATTAAATTAGATAAAATTTCAATGAGTTGTCAAAAAATTATTTACTAGTTCCATTTTTGAAAGTTAAGTGAACGTTTATTTATAACTTAGTAACTTTCTTTGGCGTTTTAAAATATATTTCACCGATATAAAAGGTAAAATTAAAAATATTTTATTAAGATTTAAATAATTTTATTTTTAGTTATCTTTATTTATTTTAATAAATTTGTTTAAAAAAAAACTAATACTCGTACTTACCAAGACGAATCCGTTCATATCGCCGAGTATATTTATATAACTTATATAATATAAAGAACTTTAAAAAACACACGTGTTTTAAATTCACTATTGTCACTGAACTTAAACTGGCTAATGAGTAACTTGGTGTAATCACTGTGCTGTTTTATACAACCACCACCCACCTTTAAGATATCGTGTGCCGTATGGTAGGGAAAGAAAATGAAAGGAAAGAATACTATAAATCTCTTTTTACAGATTCTCTTACTAGTAACTACATTAGTAATTTAGTACCTAAAATTAAAGTGACATTAAGTTTTATTACCTTTTATTCAAATGATACAATTCGTTACTAGTTTAAATAACATAAAATAAATATACTATAGTATCTTTATTTTAACTAGGTATCCATAAATACTTATTTATTAGAGTCTGATTAAGTCACGTAGATGGAATTTACAATAAGAACCCTTTACACATGTTTCTCAAATAATGAAATGACGAGCAAAAAATAAAATAAAGTCTTTAATAGACTAAAATTTTTCTATTGAAAAGTTATGGAGGCGGCCAATTTACTTTTAAACAAGAGCATCGAATTAATCGAATAAGTTTCTTAAGAGTAATCTTTTGTATAAATAATTAAAATCTACAAATGTTGTCAAAATATAGCTGGTCAAAGTTAGTTTGTTAATTTGTAATTCTTTTCGACGTAATAAATGATTTTATACTCAACATTTTTTCTTTGTAAATAAGGTCATCAATATTAGTAAACACTTTTTTTTTCCAACGACTTCAAGAATTTTGGAAAATAACAGGCAAGAGTCTTTAAAAAAATTAAAGGACGCTCAAAAATACTAAGCTTCTTATTATTCTTAAATACAGTCCTGTACGTGAAATAAAACTTTAGTATTACCTCCTATCTTAATATAGAGTTGAATTAAATGCTTTTGATTTTTGATAATGATTATAGAATAAATAGTTAATTATTGATGCGAAAGTAAAATTTTACTTTCTTTATATAATATTTCAATAGTGACATATCGGGGTAACTAGAATCTTGTCCTGGTCATTATTTAATAATGAATTAAAAAATTATTTGTTTACAAAGAATGAAAAACAACCCAGCACAGAGGGCTCGCAGCACAGTGGAAACGTGGCATAGTTGGGTAAAGTATAAATGATATCTAACAGTGATTAAAATCACTATCATAAAAAACGCTTCGATGTAAATCTGTAAATAGTTTTTAATTTAAAAAATTGATGGACTATTCTAATAGCTCCTAGTTCCTCATTTATATTCTGATAACAAGTTTATGATTTATAAGTGTAATATATGAATATATATATACAGGGTGGCCCACCACTCACTGACAACTTAAATAACTTTTGATCCAGTTAATATTTTTAGTTGATTTTTTTTTTAAATATTAGTTAGACGTTAGGTCTATAGCTATATCTCAATAATTAATTTTTTTACATTTTATTAAAAATATTAATTATTTTAAAATTTTAAATAAAAAGTAAAAAAAAAATCTAAGATAACTATTTTTTAGAGTAGAATTTAAGAAAAATTTTAGTAAAAAAATATCTTATTAATATTCAGTAGTAAATATTCTGTAGCGTTTTGAAGTTTGTGAAATTTTGAATTTTCATGTACTATTTTACGGTTATAAACATTGAAATACGTATTGAGAAAAGGACAGAAGAAAACGCTATCTTTTCATGATTACTGTGTATACATATGATGATAGTGTGTATACATTACAAACTTGGCATAAATACCATGATAAGAAATTAGATAAGGCAATTATTACTTATCACTCTCATTCAAAAGTATATTGAAAAGATAGCGTTTTCTTCTGTCCTTTTCTCAATACGTATTTCAATGTTTAATACCGTAAAATAGTACATGAAAATTCAAAATTTCACAAACTTCAAAACGCTACAGAATATTTACTACTGAATATTAATAAGATATTTTTTTACTAAAATTTTTCTTAAATTCTACTCTACAAAATAGCTATCTTAGATTTTTTTTTTACATTTTATTTAAAATTTAAAAATAATTAATATTTTTAATAAAATGTAAAAAAATTAATTATTGAGATATAGCTATAGACCTAACGTCTAACTAATATTTAAAAAAAAAATCAACTAAAAATATTAACTGGATCAAAAGTTATTTAAGTTGTCAGTGAGTGGTGGGCCACCCTGTATATTTATAATATATAAATGGAAATGGTCCGTTTTAAAAAAAAAAGTATGTTGCATAAAAGGAGATAATAAATAGTACTTATCAAAAAAAAATTATAATGATCCATTTTTCAAAAAGTTATAAAGTTAATAATATAAAAAAGAATTTTTTTTTACAAAAATCGTATTTTTTTATTAATTTTGATGTTCATTTGCACCAAGAAAACAAATTAAAGTCCGACATTTTTTTTTCCATAATAAATTATATTACATAAGCTTTAATTTAAGATATATATAAAAGTGTCAGTATTTCCGGAACACTTTCAAAAGTTAATTTTACTATATGCAATTTTAAGTTTTGAATCCCTTTCCCTCTATATAAAGGGTAATGGTCCGATTTAAAAAAAAAGTATGTAGCATAAAAGAAGAATATAAATAGTACTTATCTTAAAAAAATTATGATTCATACATTTTTCAAGTTGAAAAAGTTGTCATTTTGTAAAGACATTATGCATCTTATTATTATATTGATTTGGTAATTTTTGAAAAAGTTATGACAGTTTAAGTAAAAAAATTTTTTAAATTTTGATAATTAGCAATTTTTAAATTTTGTAACTTTTTTGGAGAATTCCCCCATTTACGGAGAACGAGGGAAATATTTTCAATTTTTGAGGTAATATCTTCGGCTAGATATGATTTTTGATCTTATGACGTATTGTTAAAAGAAATCGGTTCGGTGAGAGCTGAGAAAAAGTGGTAACAGACAAACAAAAAAAAAAAAAAAACATATAGTAAAATTAATACCTTCTCAACTTCGCATCGAAGCTGAAATATACTTGAATTTTAAACATTAAAATGATTAAAGTTTATATATAAATGAATATGTTACTTGTTATCGGTGTACAAATTCTTAAATTTAATTGGTTTAATTGCGAATTTTTTATGTAATTACGTAAAATTGATAGCTTATTTATTTTATTCAAACCTAAAATTAATATTTTACATAATTAACATAATATTTCCGTGTTTTGAAGGAAGTAAAAGATACATTTTAAAGAGGATAACTCGAAAGATTTATTCTCTTGTATAAGTATAGTGAACATTTTTTATTTTTACTCAAAATATAAAATTATATAATATACATCTGAATTAACAATAAATTCAAGATCGGCCATAAAAAATGAACCACATCTAAGGATATAAATCTCTTATTTTATTTTATATATTTCAGATTTTATCAAAAAATTAAACTATTTTAATTTTATTTTTAGATTAAACTATTTAAATTATTGCTTAGTAAAATAAATTTTAAACTGTTTAAACTCTATTATTTAAATCATTAATAAAAAAATTGAGACTAATATTATACTTTATTTTGACTTATAATATTGTCTAGATTTTTGTTATATAAAAATTAAAATACTATTGAAGGAAACAATGTTAACAGGAGCTTCGAAAAAAGTTATCGATTTAATAATTAAAGTTAATCCATTGTTTTTTTAAATAATTTTATCTTCCAAAAATTATATTCTTTCACTTAAGTTATTGGAAATTAAATTCCATGATTTCTGTTCCCTTGGAAAAACTGACCATCTTAACAATTTGATATTTATTTGTTGATAAATAAATAGAGTAACCTTAGGTAAAAGTGTATTTTTTTTTTCTATCACTTATAAATTGTAGTATAAGGTAGCTATAAACAATTTTCAATTATGACATTTTTTAATTATGTGAGATATGGTGATAATTTTTAAACAATGGTTTCACATGCCAGGTTCTTCTTTATTGAGTAAATGTCTGTGTTTAAGATTAATGGTTAACCTTATAGCTATTGAGTCCTTGTTTCTAATTTTTCTAATAGGTAGTATATTGATTTTTAAGTGTCTTTTTTTAGTTATTTTTATTGTATTATTATTTGTCACTTCATAGTTCACATTTTTTGGCCACCTCGAATTGCATACTTTAACTATAGGATTAATTTTATCTTTTTGTTGTGAAAAATTGTTGAAAGACATGTTTGGATTGTTGTCAGAGTTGGCCACAGTTTACCCGCTTTTTCATTTCCAGTTATTCGCAGTTACACCCCAAATTTTGTTGGAGATTGCTTAGAAAAAAAATCGATTTTTTTAAATTTGTTAAGTAATTTTTTCATGTTAATTTGTTATTTAGTGCCGTACAAAAAAGTTTGATGTCTTTTTTTAGTTTCTCAAAAAAAAAAAAATGTAGCAAAAAATAATAGATTATTAATTGTTCAAATTTAATAAAATACTATTTAACGAAAAATACTAAAAACGTACATTGATTTATAGTTAAATGAACAATATCATTCAAGTTGACGTCAAAATCAAAATATTTCCTCTAAGCTAAAGAATTTAATATAACTCAACTAAAACTTATCAACTCATTTTTGTCCAGCTTTGATATAATGTAATTAAGAAGTTAGTTCTTGATAGTTAGTCTAAGTTCAACAAAAAGATAAAAATGCTTTAAAATCCAGGTTCTGATAATGATTACAATCTATTTTTTCAATATTTTTTTTAGTACTATTTATTAAAATGACTGTAAATGATCTTGTTTTGAAGTATTTTAATAAATAAGTCTTAGAGTAAAAATATACATAGGCTGTTGGTATTTCTCAGAGTATATCTTTTTTATTTTAATGAGTCGCTATGTATGTTTTGATAATTTTACTGTTGAAATATTCTTGAAGTCATTTGGTGAACGTCAAAAAATATATATATTTTCGTTTTATATATGTTTTCATGGCTAAAAAAATATTAATTCCATGCATCAAATAAAGTTGTCCAAACGACGGATCTTGAATACTTGTTTGGTAATTTTAAGCCTTACAACTTATAGATGGTTATATAAAGATATATAAGTGCAAGTAGTTGGTACCTACTAAAACAACAACACCCAATTATTCTGACACGATATATTAATGTGATTATTAACCATGGAGATTAAAGACGCCTTTTTAATT